TTGTATTTCATGTATTACTGTATTTGGCCCGCTGCCCTGGATAGATTTTCATTTTGGCCCCCTCGGGGAAAATGTTTGGGCACCCCTGTATAAGAGCATATCGCGCCAGAATGCAGCTGCTATTATATAACCATCGTTTGATTTTAGCTATATGCTAACTAAAAATAATTGCTGTGGAAGGTAAGTTCTGCTCTGCACAGGTTTCTCTTTCATTTTCTTAAAATGATCCCACACTTTGAGCTCTGTTGTCAGGTAGCCATGATACCAGAGCCTGTCTGTTTAATGTCTTGTGACGTCCACGGCCTACCCCAGTTACCACTACTGTGCATGTGTGTCAAGGACAGAAAGGCAGATGTGGCAGTGGAAGGTGTCAAAGCAGTTTGGAGAGAGAAAAAAGTAAACAATAACAAAAATTAATCGATTATTAAATTAGTCATCGATTTTAATAATCGATTAGTCGTCACTAATCGATTAATCGTGGCAGCCATGGTCTAAACTCAAGGTTTCTTATGACGTCGCATTTGCATTCACTAAACTTTTATTTGTATTCAACTTTATTAAACAAGAATACAAGTGTTATATATGTATTTGAGTGCGCATATATATATATATATATATATATATATATTAGATTTGGGTAAATGTGCAGCAATATGTTGCCCTTTAGTGGTGTCTACAAAATATTGTGGCCCCTTCTATCATTTAAGTTGCCCACCGTACTACTAACGTAGTTACTGGGGTTTATGGACTCATTCTTATGCTAATCTGAATTATGCTAAAAATGTCACGTAAGTTATTTTCTATTACAGAAATCAGTACGTCTAAAGGGTTCCCATAAATCTTCAGTAATCATTACTAATTGTGGCCAAAAATCTGTAAAATGTTTACAAATAAACATAAAGCTTTTTGTGACTCAAATGGATCTTTATTTCTAACTGACCCCTGACCCAGTCCTGCCCAAGTCCCTTATTGATGTGACAAAAATCAAGTTGATTTATAAGATAATTTAATTAAAATCTACATCAGAGGCTTCCAACCTTTTCCCCTCAGATCCCCCCCTCCCTTTGGCTCTAACAGCTGCACCCTCCCGGCCTGTGCAAACAACAAAAGAATAATCTGCTCATTTATCATTTAATCACTGGTAATTTATTCCCTTTTTCATCAAATTTAACAACCTAAATTTGACACAGGAAGGAGAGGTTAAAGTCAGGATGTTAAAATCTGTTCAAAGAGTTCAAAGCTACAAATAACGAGTTTAATCTTGAAGTTGAGTTAATTTAATTGTATTGTTTGTGAGTGTAAATATGACACTGGTTAAAGTGTAAACAGTTTGATGGGCCAAACAAAAYGCAGCTCCGCTTCACGTCACCGGGTTCGCTCCTGACCCATCCCCCACCGCACGCTTTCTTAGCCCCGCTTTCCTAAAACCAATAAACGTAAACTTAAATAAAATCCCTAAATGTCAGCCTCTCCTCCGTTACGCACGCCGCTGACGGGACAAATCACTCCCGTTTAAGTCAATAAAAGCGACTTTAAGAGGCGTCTCGGCGCCGCTAGCCGCGACTGCCGCATGCTTTGTCTTTTCAGCCCACTGAGTGACAATGAGGCCATTTTGATCGGAGCTAACAAGCTAGCCGGCTAACAGCTAGCCCGGTAAGCTAGGCTAACGATGGTTTCGGCTAGCCCACGGTCCTAAGATGTTTAGGGAAACGGTAACCCCGCGGGGATATAAAAAACACACAACCGGACACATTAACTTCCCAACATCTCGTTCCCGAAAAGCAATGCTAACAAGCTTAAAGCTAAATAAGCTAAAAAAATAAAATAAAAAGCTCCCACCCACACATCCACCGCGGTCCTTCCTCCTTTTTCTGGCCAAAAACAAGTTTTCGCCGCGGCTGGGATGTTTAAATGTCCCCCCCTTCCTGGAAAAAAAAATTTAAACGCACACCCTGGTGCCTGCCTTTAAAAAAACACTTCCCTATAGGTTAGGTGTCCGTACTCACCTCGTGTTTGTTATTTTATTCCCGTCTTTCCGTCATAGGATCGACGGCAGAGAAAGCGGAGATAAGGTTCAGATGAGATCATTCATGCCACGGCTTCAGAAACTGAGGCGCCTCCGTCCTGCTGCTGCTGCTGCTGCTGCTGCTGCTCAGGCGGACGGAGAAGGAAGGGAGGGGGAGGGGAGCCATATCCCTTCAGATTCCTCTCTGCTGCTCCTTTCTTTCCGCTTCTCTCCTCCACCAAAGCTTTCGGACTGAACACCTTAAGTCCACGATTTCACAATAAAAAAAATAAGCTTTTTTTCTCTTTACCACCATCGTTTACTTAATAAGTAAAATGTTGAGTATTTTTTTAAAACTCTAAAAAAATWTTTTTATTTACATCAAGTCATTTTCAAATTAATTACCAAAACCGTTTGACTCCATTCACACACACACACAAAAAAAAAAATAAGTTTTTAGGTTTATTTGTTTAACAGTGAATGTGTTTAACCGTGTCTGTACAGGATGTGAAGACTCGTTAGTGACCCCTGCTGTACAGGCGGAGAACTGCAGCAGCGCTGTGCTTCAACCTGATTCATGAAGATCAACTATTAATATAGAAAGAAAAGGTTAACATGTTTTATTGTTTATAATGTAAAAAAGACCCCTTGTCACAAACATCTATTACTGTCAAGTTTATTTATTTTACACTAAACCTTAACTGGTGACTTACATCTTTCCTGTGGAAGCTGGTGATGGTACGACGGAGTAGGGCCACACAACGAGATTTTTTTTAATTACGAGAATAAAGTCATAATATTGTGAGAATAAACTCGTAATATTACAAGATTAAAGTAATAATATTGAGAGAATACAGTCATACAATTACGAGATTAAAGTCATAATATTGTGAGAATAAAGTCATAATATTACGAGATTAAAATCATACTATTGTAAGAATAAAGTCGTAATATTACAAGATTAAAGTCATACTATTGTGAGAATAAAGTCGTACAATTACGAGATTAAAATCATACTATTGTGAGAATAAGGTCGTAATATTACGAGATTAAAATCATACTATTGTAAGAATAAAGTCGTAATATTACAAGATTAAAGTCATAATATTATGACAATAAAGTCATGATATTACGAGATCAAATTAATAATAATATTATGAGATTAAAGTCATAATATTGTGAGAATAAAGTCGTAATATTACGAGATTAAAATCATACTATTGTAAGAATAGTCGTAATATTACGAGATTAAAGTCATAATATTGTGAGAATAAAGTCATAATATTACGAGATTAAAATCATACTATTGTGAGAATAAAGTCATAATATTA